TTCAGATTCATGTTGTGTTCAACTGTTTCACTAGTGTACATGAAAGGTGGAGGGCTCAAGGAGCTCCCTTTAATAATCTGTGCAGCAGTCAGGCATATTTGCCTGAACTCCGTGGAGTGTGCAGATTGCTATCTCCAGGCAAGCGGGGCTGACAGACACCTTCAAGGAGGTGCAGCAGGAAAAAAGGTCACGGCCTTGGTCCCTGTGCACAGAAAAGAGTATGGCCTTTTCATAAAGCCATGTAGCAGTCTACATGCCTGGGCATTCTGGGAAGGATTCTGCCTCAAGGAAGAATTCTTCCTGTAGCAACCCCTGGGGTGGGCAACACACAGCTGTGTTTAAATGAAACAGAGCCCATATTAACTAGACTCAGCACTTGACTTTTCAAAGTAACTCATCTTCATGCCTCATTTCTTCCTGCCCCTGTGGTTAGAATGGTCTTCCTCTTCAAACACACGCTTCTGAAGCGTTCCAAAAATGATCTTCCTGATCATTTCTGAACTCCTTTGATCTGAACTCTTATCCAGTGTCTGCATGGCACTTATAAGCTCTTTGGGAGAGGGACCTGATCCTTGGTGTGTTTGTAAAGAATACTCGTACAACACTCAGTAATAGTAATCACAGAAAATAAGAAATATTGAATTGTAACCAAGGATGAATGTGGCAATCATATACTAGGTTCCGGTATGAGCTGCATTGCTCTTCTTCTGGGGAAATAAGCTCTCTAGCTGCAGTGGATGAAGATAGCTATTATAGATCTTTTACTAACAGCTGTACAAATTCAAAGTTTTGCTCTTCAATTAATATTCAATACAACATACTGTGAATAACTTACCTTATCTCCTTTGAGGCCATCAATACCCTAGGGACAGTAAAAATAATAAAAATCATATTGTTAAAAAAGGCAACTGGTAACATAGGTGATAAGGGCAGTCAAGATGTTTAGTAGAGGCAAACTTAAGAAAATGACTTATTTTCATGAATGGCATGGGTGAGTAACCTTGGCTGGTTCTGATGCACAAGGATGAATTTCATGCCTTATGCGCCAGACTTCAATCTCAGAAGAATGGACTTGTTGGAAAGTGGCCAGTCTACCAGCTGGGATTTCAAAATTATTGTAAATTTGATTTGTGCGGCCTGACTCTTTTTGGGGTGTAGGAGGACTTTTTAAAATAGAAAAAAATATATATCTTTCGAGGGATTTTGTGCCAATGATAGTGCTCCAATTTTATTCCTTGTTTATAGTTTATCTTTGATATAATTTCTGTAGAGCAAACCAAGCTCTAGTGGTTAAAGCAAGAATCCTGGGTTCTGCTTCTGTCATTGACTTACCTTAGGTAAGTCACTTAGGTGTACATTTTTAAAGAGTATTTTCTAATGTTGGGTGCCTCCTGTTTTTGGATGCCCAGCTTGAGACACCCAAGGCCTGATATGCAGAAAGTACTGAGCATCCACAACTTCAACCAAAGATAGCAAGAACTGCAGGTGTCGATCACCTGTGAAGCTCAGAGCCAATGTGTTTCAAATTGGGCCCCCAAAATCAGGTCACTTTTGAAAATGTTCTCTTAACCTTTCCACTGTTTTCCAGCCAGTGGGGATACTAACATTATCCCACCTCACAGGTGTATTGTGGGGCTTAATTGATTAATATATTAACAACCGTTTTAAGCTTTAAGGAATTAAGGGCTTTATATGGTAGAAATGCACATTATGTTTAATGTTACCACTTACTGGTTTGCCTGGAGCACCTCCTGGCCCTGGAGGCCCTGGAAATCCTTGTTCACCCTGACAGTAATAAACATTGTAACTGTTACAAAAGCCACTGATATGATTAACTAGTCCTTTCCTGTGCTCCTAGAGTATTACGGAATATTCAGTTTTCTTTACTGTAAGCATAGACGTAATTTGACTGTTATATTTGGGTGGGCAAAGTAAGCCCAGGCACATGTGCATACTGAAGCCAGTCCCCTGGGTTCACTGGCTGTCTCCCCCCACCTACAGTGGTACCTAGGCTGCCAGTGCTGAGGGATGGAGGGGACGGTGTAAAGGGGAAGCCCGAGCTGCTGCTGGCAGCCACTCCAGCACTGGCTGCTGCAGCGATGTCGCTGCTCTGGTGCTGCTGCGATTGCCTCCCGGCTGGGGCTGGGGCTGGGGCTGGGGCTGCTGCTGCCCAGGGGACGCCACATGCCG